AAAAAGCGGTAAAACATAAGTCAAAATTGCTCAAATTTGGCAATATGTATCTGGTAGATGTTGAATAAGAACTATTAATAATACATTCTAAACTAACTAGCCTTTGATTAGGGTTACATGAGGGTTACATGTTATAATCCGGTGAGCTAGACATAAGGACACATGTATGCACCACTGGACTGTTCTAAATATAACCGAGAAACTACCAACTCCTCATATGAGCTTTTCCCCCAATGTTTTTTAACAACAAAATGTCCCTTCAGGGCTGCCATAAGGTGTAACATTTCAACGTGGTGCCAATCAATACACACCCGCTATTAATTTTAGCACAGTGTGGGTTACAGAGTTGAACTGAACCTGCACTTTGCTTGGATCAAAACACAGACAGACGTGGCAAAACGGAGGAGAACGATGGCGCTTCTGTGTGCGTGCGTTCTGCGAAGACGACACAAGCGAGCTCTGTGTGTGTCTTTACGCACAAACATGTCACACTGACAACAATGAAGGGAGTGTGTCTGGAGCAACATGCAGAACTGAAGCTGCTTTTCCATCACATGACCTCAGAGGACTGCAGGCTCTAATGTGTACAGTCATGCATATAGATGATGGGACATTGCAACCTAAGACTGTAAACAGATGGACAATGCTAGCCCCCAGAAAAAAGAAGCCCAAAAGGAAAGTGTACATGGACAAAGTGTTACTCCTTCTCTCTTTGGCTCCTATTGACTCACATAAAAGTGAACTCATCAGAAACCATTTATGGCACTCTCACCACTTTGGGCTTGAATCTGTGGTTTAGCGATGTCTGTGATCCTTATCCCAGACGCCGCAAAGCTAAGGGCGCTAAGCTAAGGGCCCAAAGCAAAGGACGCGAATCTAAGGGCGCAAAGCTAAGGGCGCAACGCTAAGGGCGCAAATCTAAGGGCGCAACGCTAAGGGCGCGAATCTAAGGGCACAACGCTAAGGGCGCTAAGCTAAGGGCGCAAAGATAAGGGCGCGAAGCAAAGGGTGCGAAGCAAAGGGCGCGAAGCAAAGGGCGCGAAGCAAAGGGCGCGAAGCAAAGGGCGCGAAGCAAAGGGCGCAAAGCAAAGGGCGCGAAGCAAAGGGCGCAAAGCAAAGGGCGCGAAGCAAAGGGCGCGAATCTAAGGGCGCAAATCTAAGGGCGCGAATCTAAGGGCATGAATCTAAGGGCGCGACGCTAAGGCCGCTAAGCTAAGGGCGCAAAGTAAAGGGCGCTAAGCTAAGGGCGCGAAGCTATGGGCGCTAAGCTAGGGCCACCACGCTACTGTTAAAGATAATCTACTTTATCTTAATGAAGACAAGTTGATACCCATGTAAGTCCCACAAATTCTGGCCCCAGAGAGGTTGTAAGTGGCAGCGAAATCTGGAGCACCTGGAGCAACCTGCTGGTGCCTGCTGTGAGGGGAATCAGGCCAATCAGAGCGCACATTTCTTGGCTGGAACTCCACTCAACCACTGTCAGTCTGTCCCTTGACTGTGGTAGAGGGTAGAGATATTTCGTATCTTGTATTTCCTCAGGTGGAGGACCAGTTGCCGCGTGTTAGTTTTTCCCTGGAGCTACATTAAACTTCTGCTGTCAACATTTTTTGTTTCTGCAGTGATTTTTGTATTGCTTATAAAAACATTCTTGTATTTTGGATCTGCATTTGGATTCTTTTCTTCAAATCAAAACATATACTGGTTAAAAAGCACTCATTGTGGTCAGTATTGTGTTTAGGAAATAGACAAACATTTGCATCTGTTCAAAATAGTTTGCAGATTCATGTTTAAAAGCAGCAAACAAGTGGTAAAGAGCTTTGTTTTTCTCACATCATAATTCACGCATTTTTGAGTAAATAATCACATTGAATCACATTGGACACAAAGCATCTGTAAGTTCCTCTCTATTGAGCAGTGTTCTGAGCTCGAGTAGGCGGAGGGGGCTTCATCACGCGGCAGACGCATCACAAATCCACAAATGCACCAAGGCACAAAGGCGGGATTGTTGCCCTTCTCCCGCACTGAGATCATAGGGACGGCCAGTGACACAGCCCCAGACCACGGCACAGGATCAGGACTGGGATTTAGCAAAAATTTGACGATTCCATAGTTTTGCAATATTTGGGCCAAACTTCAATATTACTGCGATTCTAAACATATTGTGATCCAGCAAGTATTGCGATTCAATTCTGCGTTATATTGCGATTCATGTCCCAATATATCACAAAATAAGACTCTCAACTGAAACGGTCTGTACATGAACCACTACAACAGTATGGAACAGAACACACTATCCAAAGGGACTCAAGCTGAAGACCTGAGCACATTGCACAAGCGTTTTACAAACTTAACAGGCCTACAGGGCTCGTAAAGTCTGACCAACGATGGCTGCAAATTAAATTCTTCCTTTAAATGTGAATATTCGCTGTGACCAGTAAAAACTGCAGTTTCCACTCCAACTGTGAACACATTCTTCATGTCGCAGGAAATGAGGGGAAAAAAAGTCATTTAAAGGGCCCATATCACGGTTTTTGACTTTTCTCTGCTTTAAACATGATTGCAATGCTATTTGGCCTTCATACACAAGCCCACAGTAGTTTATTCATTGATTCTGTCAATCTTTTGTAAGAGAGCAATCTGTCTCCTTCCCCAGCGTGAGGCACAGAAACGCTCGGGTCCACTTCAGTGACGAAAACCACACTGATGACGCGCATGACCCGTTTGCTTTGTATTTAAAATAGTTGTTAAATACTTTTGTCAAAACGGGGTAAACAATACACAATTAGTATGCTGTTTTTTGTCAAAAATAATAAAAATAAAAATAAATTAAAAGCCGGCGGGAGGTGATTGACGGATCAAAACAGCGAATCAGAGCGCACAGGCTCCGGCTCCCGAGTCCAGCGTCTGTGGTCTGGTCTCGCGGACACCACATAGAGCTGCTGTTTTTATGCTTTTGTCAGCAACTAAAAGTGTTAGGATCACGTCAACTTGAATGAAGTGTGTTATGGGTGTAAATATGTGACACACTATTTGGTCCTAAGAGGAAGAAAGCGGCTCGACTTTTTTCATCTGTTCATCTCATGGATCTATTATAATACCGGTTCATCTGCGACACTTCACTGAGACTGTTCCAGAACTACAGGGACAATGGAACTGGACTTACTCAAAAGCTGATCTGGAAACACGTTATTCCCACGGTAAAAGACGTGACTCGGACCCCCTCGATCTGTAAGTAGTGACGCTAACTCGCTGTATACTTCTGTAAACTAAATAACTAGGGTCTGATTGTGCATCGATGACATACACGTAGGGCTCAATGTGACGGATTGTCATTGTTGGAAAAAATTTATTCATATGTATGAAATTACTAAGTACAGGTGATAAACGACAAAAGCGTGATGCTACGTCACCGTGCGGGCGGGGGGAGGCGGGCTCACAGGCAGAGGAGCAAACTCTTCTCTTGATCAGCTCGTTTGAGTCGAGGTGACGTCACCTCTATACAAGAGATGGCTCTAATCTCACAAGCTTTGATTGTGGTGTGGTGTATTATACACATTAATATCACACATGTGTATAGGATTGAGTGTGAAACATGAAGAAAAGCGTGATATAGGACCTTTAAGTAGAAGGAATCTTTTTAACACTGTGCAAGTTTTATATTGTTAATTCAAGTCACCTAATAAGAGAAATACATAATGTTAAACTAAGTCAATGTTGCCGTTTAGACAGCGGAGAAGTACAAAGTCAGACGAGAGATGAACCAAGATGACTTATTAAAGGAATTGGGGCAGCGGATGACGTAGGCGAGCTAAAGCTGATACTGCAAACTTACGGAAATTGAAATGAGTTATTTATAGCAACTTTCATGCTTGACCATTTTTAATTTCCCTTCTTTGACCTACATATTGATTTTTTCTTACATAAGTACGGCTGACAAAATCAAGTCATGTAAAAACATATGACACAATCACTGAGATCATACAAAGTAAAGAATGCTCACTATATCTTATATCAATGTCCATATACTTTCTTCTTTATAGTGCTAAAGTAAATAGTGAGGCCTAAGTCGCTCTGAAACAGGTGTAGTTTTGTGTTAAACAATTGATATTTTACTAGCTTTTTTCTATCTATAAATAAACTCGCTAAAGACACGCACACAGCTTCCAAAATAATCAGTCTCCCCACCACAGACCTCTCACGTCTCAACCTCACAGCAGTAACACGCATGGCCCGGACAGTTAGCACAGACCCAGACCATCCCCTCCACACCCACTTCAATCTGCTGCCCTCAGGACGCAGATACAGAACATTAAGATGGAAGCGGGCAAGATTTAGTAAGAGTTTTGTCCCTTCAGCTATAGCAGCTCTTAACAGTCTGTAACTTTGCCCTGTGTTGTATGTGTCTCTCTCTCCATCTGTGTATCCTGTGTCTATTGTAACCTGTATGTGAAAATGAATTTCCCTCAGGGGGACAATACAGGTCTATCTATCTATTTATCTATCTATCTATACATGTTACTGCAGTTCATGGTTTTACACTGATCCAGACCAGAGCAGAGAGCAGAGAGCATTCAGGTTCCGAACCAAGCAGAACAACCGCAAATCCACTAGAAGAGTTAAGTTTTTGAAAAATACTAATACAGCATTCAGCAATTCACTCTGAAAGCAAAGAAAATAGTCCGAACCAAGTGGCTACACCACCTCTGCTGCTGTGACCTAAAGTGCCGTTGCATCTTAATACTGCATGATGTATTTGTTTTGTTTGTATGTATGAATGCTTCTGCTGCTACTGGACACCTGCATTTCTCCTACGTGGATAGATAATAAATTATCTATCCATCTATGCTAAAGTTACAGATGTTATACTTGCTTCTTTATTGTGCTTAAGTTAATAAATGAAAGGTTTATTGACGTGTGTCTCAAGGGTCTGTACAGCCTACTTAATGTCATAATACATGTGCAAACCTAACGTGGGTCCACCGTCAGCATGAGCCACTGACCTCGGCTCCAGAATACTTGTTGGTCTTGGACACCAGCTGCTCCAGGGAAACGTCTGGGGCGATGGGCATGTGCCTGAACTGCAGACTGAAGATCTCTCTCCGCGTGGAAGCATCCGGAAGCGGGACGTAGATGATGCGGTCGAGACGCCCTGGCCTCATCAGAGCCTGTGTGTGAAGAACAACAGCTGGCATCACAATCACACACGATTACGCAACACACAGACCTGGAGACAAACTTTGGAATTATTAAAAACAGCAGAAAGGATTTTATTTGTTTCTGTGAAAAAGACAATGGACATTAACTCATTGTGTGCCATTGACGCATTAATACGTCAAATGCCTTTTTCGCTATTTTCACGTTCCCAGATGTCTATTGTATCTAATATGTATGGGGATGACTTGAGACCATATTTTATCGAGCCAGCAGGTGGCATCATTTCTCTCTGAATGGTTTGAAAACATGTAGGTGCACATGTTGTGCCTCTTTTTTCTCAACTTTCTGGTGATTTCTGGTGATTTCAGTAAAACCTCCCTCTACTCAACGGAGGATTACAGGGGAACGAAAAAAGCTATAAACAAAATTCCTTTTGCTGAGGAAAGTAGACAGTCCATTCTTTTAGAATCTGGTGTCGATTTCAGATAGTCATAGTACACAATATTCTGTGGGTCTTGAAAAATCAGTAAAAATCATCAGAAATGGCTGGCACTGTGGGAGTACCTGTTCTGAAATAGGCTGGCATTCAATGATATCAGAATAAAATAGAAGGAAAAATGCATATGCTGCTCATGCTGCTCTGGGGTAACTAATTACACAAAAATCATGTGGTTCTTTTCACACGTTTTAATACACTACACCACGGACCGCTTCTTGTTGGGATGTGTTTGACCGGAGAGATTATACTGGAGCACAACTCATGACCACCAACCACATTGAACATTTCATTATTCAATGGTACACTGAAAATAAACGGGTCAAATATTTAGACAAGATTTATTTAATTCATTCATTTATTTATTCACATCCTCTGTGTTTCAGTGGAGGCTTCAGGGAAAGTGGGGTCAAGTGTCTTGCCCAAGGACACAACGACTGCAGACTTCAGTGGGAGCAGATGCCATGGGTCATGGGGGGATCGAACCTACAACCAATAGGTTCAAAAACCAATGTTCTATCAATTGAGTCACTTTCACCATTTATTTCAATTAATTAATAACAAAGCCTCTAATTAAATAGATGTTTTTAATATATTGAGTAAATAATACATTATTTAATGCGCCTTACCCTCCCCCAAACCTCAAAAGTGCTAAATTTCTAGACTTATTAATTACACCGAGTAAAATTAAGTGATAAGACAGATCTAACACAGATACATCGTCACAAACAGACTCTGAAACGTCCACTTCAGCTGTCAGCGCGGAGACAATGTTGACGTTATCTGTGGAGCCTGCACTTCCCTCACATCACGTCTCAGTGACCCCACAACACAACCCACAACAGACTGGAGTGGCCCGAGCCCTGGCTGTCTCCCCCGTCTCCCAGTCTCCCCTGTCAGACGAACTCAAGTGGCAGGCGCCTCCCTCCACTGACAGGCAGACTCACACGCGCACACACACACACGCACACACACAAGCGCGCACACACACACAGTCTTTGCATGGTGTCTGGAACAGCAAAACAGGGCACTTAACGCAAATAGTTAATTTGTTAATGAGATTTTTCATTTATTTTTTTAAAATAGGGATTTTTCAAACAGGCGCTGGTTAAACACACATTCTCACACCCTCTCATTCATTCTCCTCCACAAAATCTCCAGTCTTGAATCTGGCTTGAATTGGGCCTTCTTACTGAATTCTTTGGACACCCTTGATCTAACTAGTTGCTCACTCTGAAAACAGTTTCCCATTTTTCTCCCACTGGGTTTTTAGAGTTTCTCCTCGCCGAAGGAGAAGGGTCTAAAGACAGTGGTGAAGATCCAGGACACTCCACATGCAACCACATTTATGGACATTGGTCTCTGCCCCGCATGGACCAATGGCTCTATGTGTTTTTGATGTTTGCATTTCCTGTGTTTGATTCTCTGAAAGTTCACTGTAATTACTACTGTTAGGAATTAGGGCTATAAAAAAAAAAGTCATATGCATAAAATGTTTGGCCTCGGTCACATGTTTGAATCGGGTTCAGACAGAAAAGGGAGAGAGATGATTACAGGGCACAAGTATGCAAAATGTGAAAAGATGTTATTAGAAAACGTATTTTCTAATAAGATGAAGACGGCATATTGTGATATATATACAACCATCTTAAATTTGACTTTTAGAAGACTGTTGAGGCAAACACAATGAATTATCTATGAAACAGTTGTTGTGCCCAAGCTTTAAGATAGATTGAAACTTTATAGATCTCACAGTGGGAAAAGTCACATTTTGCATGACTAGGATCACTCAGAAAGACACACAAAGACAGGGAATGTGCAAATATGTAAAAAAGTGACAAATATAACAGATAAAGGAATTGTACCTGGTTCGAAAAGGGGTTGGATGAAATAAATTTGATTCCAAGCCCATCACACATGCGGCACTTTTTAACAATATTATGCAGAAGAGTCATCAAACTGTAAATTTCATAACCTTATACAATACACAACACTACCACAGATCATATAAGACAGATGAAACAAAACACACAGGCCCAAACACTCTCTGACCCTACTTAAGGGTTGGGCAAGGTGGGACCATACATATTCAGATTCAGACGCAGACTTTATTTATCCCATCAGGGACAATTCATTTGAGCAGCACAGGGTATAAAAACATTTAAAAAAAAACAAATATCCAACAGTAACATAAGCGCTATGATATGAAGGAGCCCGTACTGTACAAACATATGAGCACAACACAACAACACAAACACACACAAAAGCAACAAGCCACAGAGAGTCCGGTCTAACAGCGATTGGGACAAAAGATTCTCGAGTTGAGGAAGTTGTAAGTTATTGTTGCATGTGGTAGTAGAGACAGTGGGGGCAGTTGGCTGGGCTCCAGGCTGGTCACAGTGGGGCTAAAGTCCGAGGGCCAGCAGACAGACGCAGGCCTGGCAGGAGGGCCCGTCAGGAGTGATCAGTGTAGCTCCAGGCACCGCGGCTCCAGCCTTTCAACTCTGCAACACAACTGTCGTCATGCGCCCGGTTCATCTGGGATCACCCACTCTCTCCAAGATGATCTCATTAGTATCGCCGTATCGACATGTTATTAACTAGGATCAAAGTTCTGATACCACCATGAGCACAAAGAAGAGAGTACTCAATAACTTGCACAGAACTGACATGATTCTAAAATATGATAAACCTTTATTCATCGCTCAGTGGAGAAACGTCAATGCCATCGTTGAACATTAAAGCAGAATAAAAGGAGAATTTAAGACACTCAGGTTAAGCATGCATCAAAAAATATCTATTATGCAAGATACTAGATCATAGAAAATTAAAGAAGCTATACCCGATTTTTTTTTTAAAGTAGTTCATAAAAATGCTCATTACTACATACTAAAAGTTGTATTATAATCTGTAATTTTATTGAAAACTTGAGATCATTGATGCAGCTTGTAATTCAGGCCGTAAAAAGTGCTGAGTAGAAACTTAGCGTGACGCCCGCTCTGCTAAACACAGTAGCATGTTAGTAGAATTGGCTATAACTCCTCTGTCTGTAACTGCAGACACAGCAAAACAGCCCAAACGACACAACAGTGAGGAAGAGAAGAGGGAACTAAAGCGAAAAAATGATCAAAGAAGAAATCAGGCCCGGGTGAACATAGCTAACTTACATCGTACCCTCTGGAGAGACTTACTGTCGATGGGAGAGACTCCGGGACCGCCTCGGACTATCTATGCTCGGACTACATTCGGACGCGGAACTAGCGGAAATTTTTCAGTTATATATTGTGTTAGCAGTGCGTTGCTTTTGTACCATTTCATAAGTGATTGTTGTACAGCTTACAAGAAGTTGTGCTCATGCTAATGTTAGCATACGTATCAGATCGCAAATAAAACTAGACGGCTCTGTGGAATGAGAGCGTAGGGGAACTGAGAAGCCTGTGAGCGAGTTGGGGGGCGGTGCTAATCATTCAAACCTTGCATTAACGGGCATAGCTCATTTAAGATGATAAAACTGGATCTATAATGTCACTTGGTTCAAGGATATGTTTTGTTTCTATACTCTGCACTGCGAGATCAGCCGGAGAACACATCTGCTCCAATAGTAGTATCTGGTAGAAGACAGCTGAGGCTGAAGCAGAAGCAGCACGATGTGGACTATAGTACATTTTACAGATGGACAGACTCCCATTATTTAGAGTTCGTTGGAGACAAAGATGTGTGGTTGAAAATGAGATTTAATTAGGATTTAGTAAGTCTGGTAGATATATCTCGATTTGTATAGTATATATGAATGACTAAAGATTCAAAGCTATTATATTATAAGTAATGCAAGACACCGTTGGAATAACCATTGACAAGTCCATCTTCTTGCAAAATTGCAGGATCGCCATTTTTAAACTCTTGTTATTCTGCCGCTGATTCCCATCTAACAGCCCTGTGGACGCTCTTCCTGCCTTTTAACGTCTGCTGTTTTTTGCCGTTCCTGGATGTGTCTGGAAACTGACACGAGAGGAATGAGAGGATGGAAACTGGAGACAAACATTAAGAGCTCGCCCCGAGGTAACCACAACACAAGCTCTGGCCGACAAAGCACCATGGATCCAGAGGAAGCGCATGTTTCTGGGCCCAGTTCCTTCCACCAAGGGCCTTATGTGGGAGACGAACTGCTGTTAGAAATAAATAAATACATGTGTTTTGTGTCAGGACTCGTCAATGTCAGGGAATTTAGCTGTGACTCAATATCAGGCATAAAACAAATAGATTTAAAAGAGGACAATTAATGAAGCTAAATATAGATACAAGATAAACCATACATACACACAAGGACTGCCCACTGTCAAAGCGTCACAGCGATGTAGTAGCTGTGATGTCATAGAACACAAGTCCTGTGGTTGATCCAATCCCACAGAGGGTTGTGACCCGCCAGGACGGTGCAGCTGATAACAGGAGCCTTCAAGCAAAAGTACAAACCAACAACTGAAGCTGTTCTTCTTTATCACTTTGTCCTCAGTTGTC